TTCTTGAACCGCGCGCACTGCCTCACGCACTCGCCTCCTATCTACTCCGGTCAACTGATTTGGTCCTGCTATAGAGACGCGTCCACGCACAAGCTCGGCTGCGCCGAAGACCAGCGCACGGCCTCCACCGCGCAGCGCGCCGTTCACGTACACGAGAACGGCGGCACTAGCGGGGTGCCTACTACGCCGACGGATGGTCACACTGCTGAGCCGGACGCAGCCGTGAGCTCGGACTTAATACAAATGAAACTGCACCCGGGATTCGCAAAAGTTTCTTGGATCGACCCGAAACTCAAAAAAAAGAAACGCTCGCACAAGCCGCTCAACGAACAAATCATCGAATTGCTCGATAACATGGCCAAGCACGAAAATGCCTGGCCGTTTTTGACAAAAGTTACCACGGCCGAAGCGCCCGACTACTACAAGTACATCAAACATCCTATGGACATCAGCACCATGCGCAAAAACGCCGTCAACAACGAATACAAGTCGAAAGATGAGTTCGGTGCTCACCTGAAGCTTATGTTCGACAACTGCCGCTATTACAATCAAAAATCCTCTGTCTACTACAAACTAGCTGACGAACTCGAAAAAGCGTTTACCACACAATACGAAAATTTGGTAAACGACTAGGCAGTGTTCGGCGCAGTCGACGCATCACTGAATTTTCGCTCTCTTTCCCAAAAATAAATTTGAATGCACAGAGCGTAAAAGTAGTTGGCGCGTTTGATCTTTACAAACAGCGAAACTCAATCGCGCGATTTTGACTACATCAATTACACCTCCGCGCTGGCCTGCTTCTTTGATTCCTGCGATCCGTCTGCTGACAGCAGGTATTTCGATTTCGGTGCGTCGCACTCGTCGCAGCTGTACGTCACAGTGAAAGTCACCAGCGCGGCCTCGACCTCGTGTCTCTCGCAGACGCTGTTGTCCTTCACAGACAATGTGTAGCCCAGCGGACACATCAATATCGGCTTCGATATTTTGACACATCGCTCGCCGTCCGACTTGTAGTCTTCCGGACACACGATCGACAGAGAAGAGCGTTCAATTTTCTCGCACTTGCACGCGCGTGAGTCGGTTCGACCGTTAGGACACACCAACTTTTCGTCGGCAAAAGCGCAAATCGCTTGGGCCCTGTGGATTCGTCGCCGCTGGCACACTCCGTTGATCAGCTGCACGGGGCATTTCAGTTCTGGGTACACTTCGGTCTCAACCATGCACCTGCTGCCGCGCAACACGCCGCTGCTGCATACCTTCTCCGCCGCCTGAATGATCACTTTTACCATTTGCTTTTTGTCACTGTCGATGATTGGCTTCGAACCGCGCTTGCGAGAAATCGAAGAGTTGGGGAAAATCGGGTAGCCATATCCAGTCTCGCCACCAATCAAGTAATCAGTATCGGTCACCTCAGCTGGCGCAAAAAGCGGAACTCGACTTTTCTTCCAATCATAAGCGCTTCCATACTTGTAGCCGGCGTAGGGTGCGTCAAAACGCAGCCTGTTCTTGTTGCTAAACAGGTTCGCGAGAGAGTCGCCAGCTTCGGCCGGGTAGTAGTACTTGTAGTCGCCGCCACCGCCGCAGGAACCCTTGGCGCACGCTAGCATTCTGTCGTCATCAGATCCGCCGTCAGCAGAGTTGAGTGTGTAGTAATCGAGCGACTCATCGTACTGCGTAGACTCGTCAGAATTGTTCAGCCGGCGCACAGCTTTGCTCGACTTTTTGAAACCCAAAATCTCCTTAACGCACCGCTCCCCATCTATCACGTAGTCTGGCGGGCAAGTTAGTAAAGGAGACTCGTATGTGAATTTAACACACGTTGAGCCGCGGCTGTGAGTGCCCCGAGGACAAGTTTCGTGTTGTTCAATTGCTTCAAAAGATTCACATCGTGCGTCTCCGCGCATTGAAGAGTCTGGCGGACAAATGTACTCTGGTTCTGAGTATAAAAATTCTACGCAATCGCCATTTATTTCTTCGCCGGTTGCACAATATCTGTTGAGTGGCTGATATGCAACACACTCATCATTTCTTCGTTCATATCCGTGTGGGCAATTATAGCGCGACGGAGCCACAGTTACTGAGTGGCATGCATCCCTATCAAGAATATAACCCGGTTTAGGACAGGAGTAAATGGGTGAGCTTACTGCATAAGGTCGGAATCCCTTCTTAGGTTTGAAGCCCTTGCCGTATCGGTCCATAACAGGAGCGGCGTACGCCTCAGCGTAGCCTGCACCGTAGAAAGGACGGTTCATGAACGGTATCGGCCTCTCAACAATCTCCTTGGTCATGATTGCGCGCTCAGCGGGTGCACGATAAGTGTCCATTCGTCCCACGTACGGCTCGTATCGCTCGACAATCGGCTCCACACGCTCGACAACAGGGCGGATTCGCTCGACAAACGGACGTTCCACGATCTGCTCCACCACCGGACGCTCGACGATCTTCTCAACGACGGGGCGCTCGACAATCTTCTCAACGACGGGGCGCTCGACAATCTTCTCAACGACGGGGCGCTCGACGAAGCGACGGATCGGGCGTTCAACGATCTTCTCAACAATCGGGCGAGAAGTGACGTAGTCCTCCACGTATGGTCGGTCGTACACCGCGCGGCTTCCTATAGTTGATCGGTAAGGAATAACGTCGTCGGCGAAGTCGGAGCGGCCGGTTTCGATGATAGTCGCAGAGCTGTGGTACTCAGGGATGTAACTCGGAGCGATCACGGCCGGAGCGTACTTCCTGCTGCTCTGTAATTCGGAGTCAGTTTGTGCAAGAGCTAGGGCGAGAAGACAGAGTGATTTCATTGCTAAACTTCCAAAAGATGTGTTCGTTGTCGCTTTATGTAGCACAAATGTGAAAGGAAAACCCAATGCGTATTTTCTCGCGCGCTAGTGAAAAAGCCATCTCACACCGGAAAAGCAAAGTCCACACAACGCGGAAAATTGTTGGTGCTTTTCTCAACCCGATTTATTCCAGCGCTCAGTTACTTTCCATCTACGCGGCGCGCGTTTTTTTGCAGCATTGCTCGCTTCGAGTTTGTTGTTCAGCACCGAATTATTGTGGTAGCTCAACATCGGTAGATTATATTCGTTCATTAGTCTTCCTCGAAAACTGTTTCTGCGGCGCTGTTCCGCCTTTAGTGGCAGTGAATCAAAATGCAGGTTCACAAGCTGTCCGCGGTGCTTCACCTGTCCTAAATAGTTCCGCCAAATTGCAGACCTTTGAAAGTCGGCAGTTGCCGTATCATTCTGTAAAACGTCTTTGCAGGAAGTGAAGTCTTTAAAGTAATGAGTTAGCTCATGAAACTGCTTGAGTAACTGATTGCGCTGCTGGTTGAGCAGCAGCTTGGCGTGCTTTCTTTTGTTAACATCGAGGGTGGTATCCGCGTGAGTCCTTTGAGTGAGTGCGCTACTATTTGGTTTCATCCGGTTTAAATGTGTAACTCTGTATCTGCTAATAAAGCTCCGAACTCTGTCGATGTATTTTCGGGCGCGCGCCACCTTTGTGTAAGATGCTGAAACCTCACCTTCAGGTGGATTTATAGACGAATGAGTAAGAGCATTCGCAAGAGAGCTTTTCGTGTTGATGCTATTAACACTCGGTGTAGGCAAACCTGAGCTCTCCCACAAATCCTGAACCTGCAGCTTTTGTGCACTTTCATTGTGAGATTTTGGTGCGCTCAGTCTAGCTTGGAAAGCAGCAACTAGTTTCTCTTCTCTCCCCGCAAACTTTCTCTTCGGCAACTGTGCGCTTTGCTGCTGAGCCTTTCTAGAGCCCTCATCAGTGATAAAGTCTTCTTCTGCATCGATACTAGTCTTTATATTGCTCATCACGCTCATTAAGTAAGTTGTACAATTCAAAGGATGACAAGAGCCAACATACTCAAAGTATTTGATTTTCAAATACGATCCGAATGAGTTTAAATCTAAAAAAATAAGTAAAAGAAGCTCTGGCTTTCTTCATGCCTTTTGACGTGTTTTTCGTTTGCTGACATAGTGTACTGCTTCTAATCCTTGATCTAATTTCGAGTGCGAACGCTGCTTCTGTATACTCCATTTCTAGTGCGCTTGGATTCGCTGCTGCTAATACTCTGCGTAGACTCAGAAAGCTCAATGACTCCCACCTTCGGTTCGTCAAATATTTCAGTGTACACGGGAGGCACAGCTCTGGTGTTTCGCAATGTGGATTCGCTCAACCCGTTTCCCTGCATGTGGAGAAATCCTACGTTACGTTTAAAGGGCAGGTCCTCAACTACGTAGCTGTGTTCGAAGCTATCTGCCTGCACTCCTGGCGTGGCACTGTTATCGCTTTCTGAGGTATTGGACGAAAACATGGCCGTCGAAATGAGCGCTCCGGTGCCTAATGTGTGCGTTGCTCTTTTAGGTGCTGCTTCGGAGGTGTGAAGCACTGGTAACAACGTTCCTTCTTGTGTGTGTTTAGCCGGAAAGCTCGGCGGAAGCTTCACATTAGAAGGAAACAACACCTTATCTATTATGTGTACAATCCCCATGGGCGTATGCACCGTGTTTACAATTCGCGCCGATGAATTAATCTTTATGTCTCCGTTGCTGTCCACATTTGCGAAAATCAGCGCAGATTGGATAGATTCGAACGTGTGATCGCCTGGAACAAGCGTCGTGAAGTTCACAGCATATGGGATCATGCAGTAGTACAAAATTTGCAGTTTCGTGTCGTGGTCGATGAGCTCTATGTCGGAACCATTTTGGTATAGAGCGTTGTACGCGCTGTCGTTCGGAATAAGAAACGTCGCTCCCCGCGACTCGTCCATGCGGAATAAAATGTCAGTTTCTTCTATCCATTTGCTGTATATGCTGAGAGACTAAAGGAACATTGCAAAAACTTACGGGGTCTGTAGTGATCACTGAAGAAGGAGACGGCAGTTCGTTGAAACCGAGTCTGGAAGCGAAGCCCACGGCGATCACAGCGTGGAATATCTTGAACAGCATCACTTTAAATTGTTTTTATATTGTTCGATTTTCTAGATTAACCAGCACACCAATGAGTGTTATTTACGGTTTTAGACTGGTTAGCTATGGATGAAAAAGAGACTGCATGACATTTTCAGCTGGTTGTTCAAATTGGGCGACCGGAGGTGGACACGTTACTTGTCTTATTTCAGTTGCAAGCTCTTTGTCAAGTCGCCGTGTGTAGCTTTTGAAAATGTTCCGTTGCCTGGCGGACTCATTGAACTGCTGCACTTGCCTCTTTTCTTGTTGGACTCCAACATCCGGCACTTGAAAGTCGATTTTTCGTGGTCTTTTTTGTTCACTAGCAATTCGGCTCCGATCAACATTTTCTGCGAAGGCGTATGTTTGCATCTGCGTTTTCTTGACGTTCTCGAGTACGACGCGGAGCATTACGTCGATCATTTTCGTAAGAAAAAGAGAAAGTTGCTTGCGAATTGGATTTCGCTACTGACCGACGGCTCGCCCAAAGCTTCTTTTAGTACGAGAGTTCTCAATCTACTGCACCTCGAGTTCCGTAAAGTCACTGTAAACATTTACGACGACTCGTCATGCAAATATCCTTGCGCGCTGCAGCTGAGTGCTGGTTCAGTTGTGTTACGGCCGTGTGCGGCAACTGATGAAGATAGCGGATTGGTGGCCGAACCGCATCAATCAAAAATGTTGTTTTCAGTCGAGTTGGAAGAAATTGGTTTGCGTGTGATGTACTTCAGTAGCCGAACCCTGCCGCCTTTACGGAAAGTGTTGCAATGCTTATCTGTATCAAGGCCTGATTATAAATCTTTGAAGGAAAAGTTGGCTTGTCATGTTGCAGTTTCGCTGCATGAGAAGATTGCAGACTTTCATTACCTATCTTCTTCGCTTCAGTCAAGCGAAATGGACGAGCTCAGTAGTGAGCTTTACAGCACACTGAAGAAACTAGACGATCGGCTTCGAAACTCAACTGGACTGTTTTCTTCATGGCACGTTAACAAGGGTGTTGCCTCATCGGTGAAAATGATTTTCGAGCAACTGGACATAGGTGCTTTGCAGCGAGATTTTGAGCATTTCAGGCCGCAAAGACTTGTTGATGTTAGTGTGAAGCTGCAGAGCTGGGGCTTGAACACCGACACCTTGCAGCTTTTAGTTGCAATGCTTCACCATTTTTTGACTTATCACACGTTTCTGAAGGGCAGCGTTGCAGAATACGACAAACCGCTGGACGAACTGAGCGCTGAGAAGTTAAGAACTGTTCTGACCGATTATTTCAAATCTGGAGGTTCAATCCGGAAAGCGTTTTTGCTTACTGAACTACAAGACTACTCAAGCTCTTTCCGACTTGATAGATTAGTGACTTTGCTTGTCAGGTGTGCATCGGATTTCAGAACTGCAACTGAAGGAGATCCTTCCAACGACGGCTTTTTCGTTTCGAAGATAAGCGGTTTTACTTTTGAAACACATGTGAGCAACAACGCAGTTTTGCTGACGCGAAGCTTGCCTAATCAACCGAGTTTTTATCACCCGCTGATAGTATCGGAGATACGCGTGCGTTTTGAGCTAAACTCGGTCATTCTAGTATTTGACGAGCAATTATGCTTTAAAAAGACTCACAAAAGCAGTTCTTATGCTGCAACAGGCGTGTTATTCGATCTAGGTTTGATTATAGACACTGTTACTTTTGTTTCTGGTCAATCATCTAAGTACATGGCAATTGAAGATATTTCTTTTGTCAAGAAGCAAATTTATTGTTCTACTGCAAAATCTTCGATTGAGAGTGTGTATGACGTCAGGGTTGAATTTGTATCTGAGAAAGATAGCGCAGTTATTGCAATGTGCCTTCCGAATCACAAAGTGGACGTGCAGAACAGCAATAACTTGACTATAACTGCAGGAAGGAGAAAGATCAATTTGTCGGCTACTCTGGTTCCTGCTTGGATATTTTGCTTACTGCGCGACAAACCTTTTGCATTTTTGTATGCATCTGAGGATGTGTTTGCTCCGAGTCGAGAATGCAGGTCAACGGTGTCACTGACTAAAATAAACTTCGTGTCACTTTCGCCAGTAGTCATGAATTTGTTCCAGTGTCGTTTCTTCTCTTTCAACAAGCTTCCCGATCTCGAGCACATTAGCAAAGAACGCGTAGCATCAAACAGCTGCTTCGATTACTGTTTTGCTCAAGATGGGAACGAAGACTGCTTGCAGTTTCACAACAAACGTTTCGCAGCTGTATACAGAAGCATTAACGCAGGGTGCGACAACACTCCGACGCTCTACAAGTGCATAGTTTTTGAATGTGACGGAATTTTCGTCGACGTGACTTGCCGCACATTCCAGCTGATGCACGAAAAAAACATTGCTCCTTATCCGTTGTTTTGCGCTGAGCTTACTGAAGAGTTCAATAGATCTGCCGGTGCAAAATGTTCTCTGCTATTGAAAAATGCAGATTCATTCCGCCGACCCATTTTTATGAGCGGCGTGGGGTTGGAACGCTCACAGCAACGCACGAAGCTGCTGGAAAAGGAGCTATCAACGTGTATTGAGTCCGAATTCTCAGAGCTAGGCTTACTAATTGAAACATACAGCGCAACCGAAAGCGGCTTCCGCGAGCGGAAATTTTCCCATGACACTGAACTTACTTCGCTCACCAAATTTTGTCCGTCTCAACCTTGCAAAACTTTTCTGTCAATTACGGATTTCCGCGTATTCCGTTCGGTGTGTTCGGTGATTTCGCTGACGTGCAGGAACGCATTGCTTCATACAACTGAGTCTCTGCTTGCGAAGGCGGCTGATGTGACTTTAACGGTTTTGCCTAATGTTCGTGCTACGCAGTGTTATTTTCTGGACTTCAACGACATTCAGTTATATGGCTTAGTCGAGTTAATAAACTTGCTGTACATGTATCCTGACTACCGCGTTGTTTACGGAGATTTTTCCTTTTTCACGCGCTTGAGGGACAAGTTCAAGACCATGTCGAACGCGCGGTCTACGAACGAAGCACTGCATAAACATTACAGAATTGTTATGGAATCTGAGAAAGAAAAGCTTAGATCTGAATACGTTTCGAATGTGATTGTGCAGTGGAACTTACATGGACTGATGCAACGCATTATTGAAAGCGAAAACTGTTGTTACAAGGTTTGTTACAACGATTTGGTTTACTTGAACGCGTTTTCGACCATGCTTGACAAATTTTTTGAAGCAAAGGCCGACCCGCCCCAGACTGCTGGATGGAAGTTATCGGATAAACATTTTACGACCAGCTGCGCTACGAACAATGTGGTTTCTCAAAAGTTTTTGTGCATAGGCGGGAGTAGGCTGACGTTGTATTTGTGTGAAAACCTTCATCTGAGTGTACTTGGCATCAACGCGGATTTCGCATTTCATAGCGAGACTGCTCTCAAGCTGAAGATGAGATGCGACGAACTGCTTGTAACGCGACTACTATCTGACTCTGCAGTCACTTTGCCGATTTTGACACGGCATGTTGCGTGCGTTAGGCCTTCGACACGCGACCTTAGCAGCGAAACTGCGGAACGTGAGTCAGGATCGGGCGGTGGCATTTCCAAGAGTTCCTGCTTTGTTTTTAGCAATAACACGATTCGGCCGTATTTTTGCAGCGTTTGCAGAGAGGACCATTTGGAAACGGAGAATAACTTCGTTAAAGCTTCGGAGACTGCTGACATAAAGAAAGGAGATACGTCAAAATCTGGATTTGCTCGGTCTCAAAAAGAAGACTTTTCAGATGGTCGCCAGCTTAACTCGGGAAATTCAAAGGATATGAAGCCTCTAGGATACCCGTTTAATGTCGTTTTGTTCGAGTCCTTAACTCCCATTCGGAAATTATTTCGACGACGGTCGCCGTACTTGAACGGGCAGTTTGTTGTTGCAGCAGAAGAGAACAGAGTCAGGATTGAGCTACGGGGCGTCAATTGCCTACTGACTCACTCTACGGTTATGCTGCTGTTCGATCACTACGCCGTTCTTATGCGCGAAGTAGGAGACGGAATCAGACTTAGACTAGCAAAAGAGTTGATGATAATTCGAATGTACGACAACAACGCACCATGCTACACTTGGCCCCCTGGTTCTGAGAGTGGAGCTCGAGAATTCGTACAGTCTTTGGAAGCTGCCCACATACAGCAACAGCAGCCAATTCCTGTAGGGGTACAGCGATCTGGACTGCAGTGCAGTTTTGCGCTGAGTGAAAGTTCCGTAACCTGGCTTGAAATAGATCCTGTGTTTTTAGTCTCGCTCATCGGTACCAAGTCGGAGCTGTTTTATAATCGCACGATCAACACTTTTGTAAGCCCTATTTCGGCTCCTTCCGCTTTCCCAGAAACCCTGTTGAACTCTTACAATCGCGTTTTTAGAATTGCAGCTTTTGTTCCGTCAGCCTCCAGTTTTCGCGTCCTGCTGCCGCTTTCTGAGCTCGATCTTAAGCTGGCTGAAGTAACTGCCGCTTGTAGTTTCGCAAGTGCTCCCGATCTAGCTGAGTTTGTGCGGAATAACGAAATTTTGGCGACAGATTCTGCTTGGAAAAAAGTCAGCATTTGTGGAAAGCCTACTAAACTGCTGTATACAGAACACGCCAGCAACAAGTGTGTGTTACTTTCTTGCGGCTCTTATTCGTTCTCACACGATCTCTACCGCGAAGTAGTCACGTACAGACCGTTGAAATCATTCAATGTGCAATGGAATTCGACAATGTTTACGGCAGAACAGCGTGAACTTCTGTCAGCAATATCGAAAAATATGTTTAGCATCAGGACACGTTCTACTTCGTTCCCGATAGCATTGCAGTTGTACGTGGAGAGCTTGTTTGTATTTTTTGGGTTCAGTGTTCGGAGCGTAGACGCGAGTGCTCGCGGTACGTTGCTAGAGGGTGCGCTAGGATCCTTATCTCCGGAGTACAACAAGCGCGGATCGAGTTTAGACTTTCGTGTTCCTTTGGTGATGGACGATCTGGCAGCGCCAAATGCTGAAATGGACGTGTTGTACGTGCCCGTGATATATACAGAAGACCGCATCAGCTTGGTCAACCCATGCGGAGCTTCTCAGAACGGCATAAGGTCGGATGCTTTATCGGTATGCTACTACATGTCGCGAACCAGGTTGGCTTACGCCGAAGTGAACACACCTCTGGTATCATTCTTTTACTCCAGTGAAGTGCTTCGGTTTTGTGTGGAAAAAACTAAGACTATTAAAGTTGTGCAGCAGTTCTTGGAAAAAATGAGACTCGAGCGGTCGAGTTGGACCGCAGTGTCGAGCTCTCAGGAGGAGCTGAGTTTATCCGATGGTTTGAACAGAGGAACAGCCGTACGCAGCGATGCTGGCTTGCCGAACGATGCTTTGGCTAGTTTCGTAAGCTGCATGAGTAGTGCTTTTGAGCTGTTCTACGGCGCAAATGACATGTTAAAACGTTTCACTGACCTACATGCTTCGATAACTGTGGGACGTGTAGAGTTTGTTGCCGTTCCCGCCTATCAAAGGTCGCAACGCATCCACAACTTTGCTTTGCAAACTGCTTTTCCGGACAACGGCGTGGCTCCTGTGTTGGCTCTTGCTGGCGTGTTCTACCTCACGTCAAAATTAGGCTTCGATATTGACTCAATTTGTTCAGCTTTGAGTCAGCGCGAGCCGCAACTTCAGCCGGACAACTTTTTGACCATACCTCACGAGAAAGACCTGCTTGATGATCGCTTTTATAAGCTAACGATTCCTGCGTTAGATATTGATTTAATGCTGTACCCATTCGGAGGCAATCAACCGGCCGCCGTTCCTCTCATCGCACCGAAGCGCAGCTGTGAAGCTTGCTTTGCTCACTCAAGTTTCTCATTAAACCACTCCGACAGCAGTCCGCGCGCTGAGGATCTGCGTGACTACATAGTTAGTGTCTCGCTGCGTCGCTTGAACATAGTCGCTTCGCTGCATAGTCTTGATGTTGAGCTCGAGAAACTTTACGTGACAACGAAGAACGGCGAACTCATTGCGCATCCTGCGGTAGCGAGACAGCCTGTTCTGGTTCTGCGCAACTCAGCGCTCAGAGCGGAGAGCTTCGAATTTTGCTTCACTTCAAGTTTCATAGAACAGATTGGGCGTCTCGTTTTCGTGATAAACTTTTTCAGAGGTGCCAACCAGGGGCTGCTATGTTGGAACCTTACTGACGCGACGATGCAAGAGTTCAGCTTAAGCACTAACTATAACGCGAACGCCGCAGATTCCGTCTGTGAGAAGTTGGCGCATCATACCATGTCGCACGAATTGGCGCAGGAAGCAACTGCTTGTACTTGTTTGGAATACAACTGCATAAGTAACACTCACTACTGGAGTGAGCGTAATTATTTGAGCTACCTGGACGTGTTGTTCGGCATCGCTAAAAATGCTGAAAATCGTTCGACCCGCACATTGCACTGTCGGA